CTTTTGAATGTTGATGAGGATCTGGAAGGTTTTTTCTCTGCAGGTAATCCTCATTCTTTCACCAAAGATATTGATGACAGCTCTTACTTTGTCTAGCTATTCATTTCCTAAGATAACATTATAGGTCTACATGTCGACAACAAGCATAGTCACAGATATAGTGATATCTCCAAATTGGATAGGAATGTTCTTTATTTTTCCAAGGGGTACTGTATGGTTACCACCTGATGTAGTGAAGTTCAGACTTGTTGGCAGTTCGATTCCCCATCCTAATCTGTCAAGTGCTTTCTTGGCGATGATGCATCCTCCTGCTTCTGAATTGATGATGGCTTCAAAAGGTATTGACTCAATAGTGCATGTGGCAATGGCTGAGGCTTTCCTGGTATCTTCTTTATCACTCATTTCTTCTGCCAATGGTTGGGCCTGGTTGATCTTGATCACCTTGAATCCTAGTTTGGTATTACTCAGTCCTTCTCTGATTTGGGTCTTGATGGCTGGATTGAGTTCCGCTGCTTGAGCAAAGGTCATGCTAACTTGGCGATTCTTTATATCTTCTTAAGCATTATAGTGATAGGTTTTGGTACATCGAGTCTGGGTTTCATAGCTTGGGCTTTCTGACATTAGTTGATTTTGACTAGGTTCTTCGAACTTGCTGAAATCTGGGGCCTTATATATGACTTCAGGCTTCTTGCACTCGATGACTACCTCAGATTCCTCATTCTTCTTGTTTCCTTCTGGGCAATTGTAAGGTTTTCCTGGAGGTCAGCCTGGTTTCCTTCCTAGTATAGCTGGTAGAATCCGAATATCTTCATTGTTACTGTCTTCAAAGATCTCTCAAATCTGGAGGGTTGGCATTTGTGCAAGGTACATCCTATCTCTTTGTCTAGTCTGCTATTGGCGGTTACTGTTGCTTGGTTCTGCTCTTCTATTTGTCTCTAACTGACAATTTCTGGCAATGTGTCTTTCTTCTCTACATTTGTAGCATGTTAAGAATCGATCATAATTCCTGTTATTCTGGTTGTTATTCCAATTTGCAGATTGGGCACTATAAGAAGAGTTGTAAGGCTGTTATCTAGGTTGGTATTGCTTTTTCTTAATGTTAGTGATGTATGCTTCCATCCTGGTAAACTTGACAGTTAACTCATCAATATCTCACTTGGTAGATACTGGTTTTCCAGTTGATGTTACATTAATAACCAGTGTAGAGTGATATGGCTCACTAACTTCTCTTCTTCTAAATGTAGGCACCACCATCTGTTGGTAGATATCTTGACTTGGATTTCATGCTAGCTAATATCTCTGAGCGAAATTAACTTTTCTAAGTAGATCAAGAGTAGTAGGTAATGATCAAATCACAAGTGCTAATTCTGCTTATATTCCCTGCATGAAGATTGATTCTGCTACCTAGTCTTGAACTGCATCTACATATCCTGCAGTTTCAATCATGTCTTGGACTTTGGTGTAGAACTCCAAAGATGACTAATCTTTTTCTTATATAGTTTACATAATCTGATTTCTCAGCTGTTGTTGTATTTCTACTGTGTGATATCTGGTTCTCAACCATGTATAACAGGTTGTGATAGATGCTGCATCAGTTGGTAGTGCTGCTAATTCTCCATTTGCTGCTCCTGCTGCAATCACTGTATTGTATTGGGTCTTTGCCGGTCCTCTAAGTGCTGCCACAATGATGCTACCATGTTGTGCTGTGTTTAGTCCTCTTGCTGCAACATAAAGTTGAATATCATCAATGAATCGGTTCACTGACTTGGCTGGTATATATCCTGAAAAAGTAGGTAGTAATAGTGACATGTCGAAATTTTATTCTGTTGGTTCTTCTTCTTGTTCTTCAAATAGTGTGTTAATTTCAAAATCATCAGTCCAATGCTAGATTGGTCCATCCAGTTCTTCTTGGTAGATACTTTCTACTCCTTTACTGTCATGTTCACTTTCGGTTCCTTCTCTTGATAGTTGAATATGCTCATAGGTAATAGTAATTCCAATAGTACTTGTAGATGTATCTGATCTATCTGATTCTTGTGATAGTCTTTGATAGTATTTTCAAATCGGTATCCTTACTAATCTTGGTGGTATGTCCGGATGGTCCATCTTGTCAAGGTTGTTCATAGTAGTAAAAGTATATTACTGGGGTATGTACTCAATAAAATTGAATATTACCCCCTTATGTTGGGTGCCAAAATGTGAGGATGAGACTCTAGAATCGGCTAAGTACAGAAGATATAGGGGGCTCAATCAGGAACCAGTAGCTGGGCTAAAATCTGTACTGTAGATAAAACTAAAGTAGAAATAGAGTATGTAGAGGAATAAAACTGCGAAAATATTAAAGTGTATATTAAGAGGTGCTAGGGAATATTAGTCCCTTCAGATGTGTATCAGCAATTAATTATCTGTTAGATGTTAAAAGGTTCTCTTTTCTTGGCTTGAATTCACTAAGCAATACCTTCTTTACCAGTTGCATTTGGATTATTAGACTTATATTGGGCTCAAGCTCAGGCAAAGATTTATTGAATAGAAATAAAGGGGGATATTTATACAGTTTTGAAAAGATGCTATACAGGTAGCTGCCCTGTTACTACTCTCAAAACTATTGGCTATTCAAAATATAAACTAATTATGAATTTATGTGATATAATGAGTTATATAAGTTATAGATTTAAGATGGTTAAAGATTTACAATGGTTAAAAAGTTAAGATAGTTAAAAGGTTTCACAAATCAAGGAACTATTCCAATTAGTTGAAATCTCTTTGTATTATACTGATTTCTTCTTTAAGTTCCTCAAAGGTGGTTTGAGATAGTTGGTGAAATGTAGATGATCCAATTTTGGTAAGTCTTTTCAAGGTGGCTGGTTGGAACTGGAAGAGTCCGTAAATCCAGAGGGTGATCCTTTGAGATTAGAGTGGAATCCCTTGATATAGTGCTCATTTGCATGCCTCTATATGTTGTCGGTCCTATATATATTTGAGATCTTCTTCCCAGATCCTTACGATCTTATAGTAGGCTTGAAATTCATCTTGTATCTATTGTTTCTGAGCAATGTCGATATTCTTCATTATTATTTAAGTCCTTCATAGGGCAGATCCTTCCTCAGGTAATAGTTTGGATAGAGGGTCTTCTAAGGCTCGGTATGCTTCAATGACTCGGCTTTGGAGATATTCATCATTGTTGAATCAGGGTATTTCGTACTTATATAAATCTTTCAGTCTCCTCTTATTATATTGTAATTTCTCAATAAATCTATTTATAAATAACTGCTCAATAATCAAATTTTGATTATATTAGGAAACTATTTTCAGTTCATAGTCTATGACTAGCATCTGTACTCATAGGCTGTTCGCAGACTGTTTGCAGGCTATTCTAGCTAGTTTGTAATTTGTGATATTATTCTAGTAGAGTTTTAGGGTAGTTTTTAGCTGTTTGCAGCTGTTCACTAATAATAGTTCATAGTCTATGACTACATCAGAAAAATAGTTAATTAATCCATAAACTATTTTGCTAAGAGCTGTGAACTATTTTACTAAGAGCTATGAACAAAATAGCTATGAATATAAATGCAAGTTATAGACTATAAACTATTATTGGTAAACAGCTACAAACAGCTGCAAACTACCTTAGAACTTCACTAGAATAATATTGTGAACTACAAACTGGCTAGAACAGCCTGTAAACAGCCTGTAAATAGCCTACAAGTACAGATGCTAGTCATAGACTATAAACTAAAAATAGTTTCCTAATGTAGCATCTGTATTTATAGCTATTTTATTTGTAGCTCTTAGTAAAATAGTTTACAGCTCTTAGTAAAATAGTTTATAGATTAATTAACTATTTTTCTGATATAGCTACTAGATATTCTATAAAGTCTATAACATATTAGATTTTTATATAGAAGGTAAGAATACTTTTATTTATCTCTTAATATATTAATACTAGCTAATCCTTTATATTCTATTATATATTAGCTATGTAATAAGTAGCTCTTAGCTATGTAATAGTATTAGTAAATGTTATAAATATATTTGCTTTAGAATTTATACCTCTTGTATCTATAGTAAACCCTCTAGCTGCTATATCTATAATAGCTGTTGTATTATATATAATCTTGATAGATCTATATAAGACTACTTCTAGAATATTTACTTTTATAATATTATTAAACTACTGAATTATATTATAGATCTAAAGATATATAACCAGTAAAGATTAGCAGTCTTTTTATCATTTTATAAGTTAATTTCTAGTCATTTAATAATAATATATTGTATACTATAAGAGAGATAATAAATTTCCTTATTTTACTATAATTACTATCTTTCACTATAAGTATACTGTTGTTTCTTAAAGAAGTAGTTCAGTTTTACTTAAATAAAGATATAAGAGTTAGTCTTTTGATAACTCTTTTGCTAGTTACTGAATTATAATAAATATATCAAAAATACTACCAGTATAATAAATATATATTTAGAAACTTTTAAATAATAAGAGTGCTATTCCTATATTTTGTATATTCTTACTGATAGCTATATACTATACTTTTCAAGCTTACTATGACTGACTATTATTGGAATATTTTAAAAGTCAAAAAGAACTACTTTTATTTAATAAGAAATAGAAAGTTATTTATATAAAAAGCACTACTTAACAAACCATTCAGTGCACTGCTGGATACACCACTGGATGCACCATTTGATATAGATGTATAGCTCAATGCACCACCAAATGCTGCACTACTGGACATACTGCTCGATGCATCACTGAACACACCACTCAGTATATCACTGCTCAGCGCACCACTGGATGCGCTGTTCGATCTATAATAAATAGCACGTGACTTCACTGGCATTATGACTAGGTTGGTTATTATACTCTCCATGTAAATTTGAACTGACAATGATCCATAATCTGTATAGATTTTTTTTTCGAGCAGTCCCAGGATGAAATGCGCAGACACGTGACGGGACGCGTAAAAAAGAAAAAAAATAATACATGCGGGCGCCTGGAATCGAACCAGGGTTATCACGGCCACAACGTGGTGTCCTGCCTCTAGACGACGCCCGCCTTGGCTTGTTGGACACCCACACTTTTTTACATTTATAATCCCAAAACAAGTTGTCACAGATTGTTTCAACTCCCGTTGGTTTTGCAGGCCAAGCCAAAAAAAAAAAAAAAAAAAAAATGGACAAGTATTCTATTTATCACAACTTTTTTTATTTATTTATTTTTATAACCTTAAGGATCTTTCTGCAAGAAGCAAGGATTCTAGACTACTCTCAAGATATTTGAAATTTGTATATCTTGGTTGAAACTTGTGAGATATCCGCAAAAAACAATTAATTCTCAGTCACCTATAGAAAAACGACAGAGCGCCACCACAAAGAATACAAGACATAAAATAAAACGAGGAACGAACTACCTTTGAGTATTTTTTGTTTAAACTAAATTAGGATGCATCGCACCCATGACGATAGGTCAGTGGGAGGCAAAAAAAAAAAAAAAAAAAAAAAAAAAAAAAAAAAAAAAAAAAAAAAAAAAAAAAAAAAAAAAAAAACATCTACAGACTATTTTTCGAAACATTTCATAATTAATTAATTAATTAATTAATGTTTTTGTTTTGTTGTAATGATCTATTAGTCAATCCCCCTATTCAGTCATTCCTGTCTACACTTTTCTATCAGTCACTATTTCATCATCTTTCTTGCTCACACCTCGAAATTTCACATTGATTCTTTACAATACCTCAACATTCCTGTTATTCAATTAATTTCTATATCTTAACTATAACACATGGCCTTGGTGTTTACATACTTGTATGGCATCATTTTACAAAGCCCAAGAGTGATAATATTAATAATAATAAACTAACCTATATACATACTCTCTCTCCAATTTAATAAGGTGTGGTAATTGCAAGTAATTTGTAGGAGGCCTCATAATGTATGTCTGCTATATGAGATACCAGTGGTGTTTATTTATTTATTTATTTTGAGGGGGAGGGTAATAAAAAAAAAAAATTCTATATAATGTGACAAATATACTAATAACTAGTCATTTATACATTTGTTGAGAATGCTTAGAATTATAAATGTGATATTTCCCTTTGCATATCCTTATTACAGCTAAACATGCTGTGCTCTTCAGGCTTTACTACAACTGATATTAAGATATTCTAAGACTTTATACAAACTGATTTATTTAGATAAAAATAAAAGAGGTATTTATATAAATTGAATAACTAAGAAAGAATTATCAAGAAAGACTTCACTATAAGTATGACTCGATAACTGCAAATAATATTTTATTAATAAAAATGAGATCAGTCACTAAAAACTACATTTGTCACTAGTGGTAAGATTACTCACTAAAAATGACACTAACTAAAAATGGAAGAGAACAGAAAATCACAGTAATTCCAAATTGAGCATAGTACTAAATTTATAGAAATTAGGCAATTTGAGAGTCAGCTGTTATATCTGGGGGCTCAACTGGGAAAGACTTATTCTCGAGACTAGATAAAAGCAAAGTAATTTCATCTTCAACAGCTTAGCAGATTTGAGTAATTTTCATATAAGTAAGTTTGACAATATCAATAGTCTTTCCATAGAACCTAGTCAAAATCTATTTATATCTAAGGAAGAGTGTATAGGTCCTATTGGCTATATCTTTTTCAAACTTTGACAATAGTATCTCCTATTTCTATAAATGGTATCAGAAGTAGCAAGCGTGTTCTTGATAAAACCTGATTATAATATCAGTAACTCAGCTTTAATTGCATAATCATTCATGATACTGCTGTATCAGGATGAAGAGTTTTTTAGGTCTTCCTCTTCATCTAGGGGAACTAGATTAATTGAGTCTGGCCCTCTTATTAGTACTTCCTTGATCACTTTTTCTATATTCCTTCAGTGGTTGTATCTATTTGGCATAATAGATTTTAATCTTACTTTGGTAGACTAGGGAAGATAGAACCATTGAATCTTCTAAGTCAAATTGTACTCTTGTATATAGTATAGTCCTTTCTATTTCAGTTGTAATTTAGCTGATCATGATGATTCTACAATATTCTAGTATATGAGGACTTGATCTTCAATATGTAAGAAGGTTATGTTTGCTTTCTTATTTTGGTTTATTTATTATCTCTCCTGCACCTTATCAATAAACACAGATGCTTTCTTTCAAATTAATTATAACCTGCTAATATCTTGTGTAATATAAGCCTATAAATGATCATCATATATTCTAATATCTTTTTTAAGATAGTAAAACTCTCAGTTTAGTAATCTCCTATATACAAGCTTGAAGAGTAAACTTTGTTAATATCTGATAAATAGTTTGGACTGCAAAAAGGGTGCTATCAAGATAATGGTTCTATAATGCTTCTTGATTGATAATCTTTGCCAGAACATTCTTAACCATCTGGTTGATATGCTCAGTTTGACTATTTCCTTATAGGTGGTATGATGTCATTCAGATATGTTTGATATGGTAATTCCACTTGAGTTCTCTAATTAGCTCATTTAGAAACTCTATACCTCAGTTGCTGGTTATTTTCTTCAGTACTCTATACCTGCAGATAATATTAGTATATAGAAACTTGGCTACTGTTTGTACATCTGCATCTTCAACTGCTATTGCCTCTAGATATTTTGTAAAGAAATCAACTACTAAAATGATATATCTTTCTCTTATTAATATTACTAGCATAGGTCCTATAATATCTATCCTGATATTGTGGCGGACTAAAATATATTAACAGCGAGATACTCGGAATTGAGTAAGTGCAGAAAATATGTTTCAGGGGTCTTAGCGGTTTATGCGGTAGCGTCTTAAGAAGGGTGTCGTTGTAGGTGTTAACTTAGCAAGAATTTAGTATGATCGATCGAATAAAGTGTATCTGTTAGAATCTCGAAACTATCTCAATTGCTTACTCCTTGAGTAAGGCTTCAGTATCCCTTGGGTTGTCTGTTGTAAGCTTCCTTAGCTTGTTGCAGTCCGAATTTTATTGATAATTGCGAGCGGGGTATTTATAAGAAATTACAAGGTGCTATACGGGCAGCTACCCAGGTTACTACTTGAATTTCTGATTGGCTCGGCTAAATATAAGGCACAAATTGATTGGCTAAGATATAATAAATGATATATCAGATCGAAATACTATTTCAGGTTATAGCGTGATTGTGGATCTCAACAACGCTAAAGGTCTCAACAACGCTAAAGGTCTCAACATTGTTGAAAGTCACATGACTTGATCTCACATGATCAAATTGTATGTCGTCACAAAATTCTTTCCGTCACATCTCCTCCCTGTGTGAGAAATTGCGTCTGCGCATATTTTCTTACACATAACTAAATCCATGTTGTCATCGTTCAGCGTCCTCGGCGGTGTGAATTGGAGGGAGCTAATAAAATAAACTCCTCTGATCGCAAGTTGGGTACAAGTCTCCGAAATTGGTCGTGACGAGCGTAGCGTAGTCACCGGGTCTTCAATTAAATCTGTCAGTCCTCCGAAATATAAATATAAGAAAATACTAAATAAATGAAATAAGTGTCCATCGAAGATCGCCAAATAAAATAATAACGTCCGATCTGAATAAAAGGGAATAAGTTACTGAGATGATAAATGAAATACGTCAGAGGAAAATGGAAATAAATACGTCAGGGAAAATGGAAAGAAATACGTCAGGGAAAATGGAAATCGATCGAACGCATTATTGTTCAATGCAATAATAATAAAAAGGGGATGAAATCGATCGGGAGCGTCATTGTTCGATGCAATAATGAATAAAATAGGAATCGATCGAAAATAAAATAAATGAAAATAATAATAATTGTTCGATGAATAAAATAACTGATGTAACTGTGATGACTGAATAAAATAGACTCTGGGTCGAAATAAAAAAAAAAGGAATATATAACTGAAGACTGTGCTTGCTGTTCTTTTTCAAAATCTCCTAAATCCTCCACATGTCGTCGTTCTTGCCCTCTACGCTGATTCGTCTGTCTGTACGTCTGTCTGTCCGAGGTACATAGTCGTTCTAGATTCTGTCATTCGTGGCTTGCTTGTCTCTCTCGTTTCGGTCGTTCTGACTTTCTTTCGTTTTTCGTCGCAAAGATCTTGCTAGAATCTTCAAGGATCTCTCTGCGTGGTGCGCGTGTGAGTCATGCTACTGATTTCGGTACGTAACTCAAGATTTTACCATATGCGGTGGTCGCGGTGCATTCCTTGCGTGATTCGTTTTGTTTACGCCTAGGGGGTAGGTCGTGTGATTCAGATGGCGTGATTCGTTTTGTTTATCCGCGAAGCTTGTTTTTCGGGCATGAGCTGATTCGTCGATTCTATTTTTCTCCGTTCTAACTCTCAGGTCATTCGGGTGCGGATCGGGTCCTCGGTCGGGGGTCCTGGCTTTCTGTGTGAGCTCATTCGACGCTGACGATCTGAACTAATTCGTCGGTCATTCATTAGGGAGACTGACAACGAGGTAAGTGATTCGGGCGGGTGTGTATGCATGTCGGTCTACGTGTGTCGGTCTGAATCTCGCCATGAGGTGTCGACGGTCATGAGGTCTGGCTTCTAGGGGGCGTGGGATTTGCACATGATTCCGTTTCTGAGCTTGGTGACTCGCTTTCGGCGATTCATTTCTTGGCTGGGGAAGGTACGTCTTTGTAAGCTTTGTGGCTGAATCTCATCATGTGTCTAGCTTTTGTTGTCCGGATTCGTCTGCTCTCTTCGACAAGGGTTGTCTTGCTTGCTTGGATCAGCAATGAGGTCTCTTTCCGAATGAGGTCTCTCTAGCACGTGGGTAAGTTCTTGGGGTCTCACCGAGATTCGGGTATGGGTGGTTGTTTGCGTGTGATTCCGGCAGTTATAAGAATGGGGGTCCCGACGTCTGTCTTTCTTGCAACTCCAAAAGTCTTCTAATTCACACACTACTCCCTTTTCATATACTTTTACTATGACTTCGCAGTGCCAACAATATCCAGTTACTTCTGTCCTTGGCAAGCGTTGCCGGGATGATGACGAGGTTATCTGCGAAACTCCTCCAGGTTTTTGGGATGCGGAT